TGTAAATTTATCTCGCTCCATACCCGGTTTTCACACTGGAGAAGTTTGCACTTTAAAAAACCTGTCCCATAAAATCCCCTGCCCGGTGCCTGTCCAAGCAGCAGCCTGGCTGTGTTTGTCTGAGCATCCCTTCTTCTTCCAGGCTTCTTCAGAGCTGTGTGGGGCTGGGGATTAGGGCTGTTTGAATGAAGAGAGCCTTTATTACATTAGTCTAAGTGGTTAATAGGTAAAGTAGGCCAATCCATCTTTAGACTAAGCCTATCACTTCGCCTACGGAGGGTGCAGGCTCCGCCGAGGAGATATTCATTAAAGGAAAAGCTTTTCCTCTGTCCCTCTTGACATGTTAATAGCTCAGGGTTAGGGGCTCTGCTCTCTGCCTGTGCAGAATTCATAGCTGTGCAAAATTCCTGGCTGTGCTCACACAGCAACTCCCTCCCCTCGCTGGGACCCCTGGCAGCTCTGCCCGAGTCAGCAGCACTGAGCCCCACCAGTGCTTTGCTGGCTGGGCTGGGTGGGGAGTAAAAGATGCTGGGAGCCTGTTCCTCATCCTCACTTCCCTCTTCCGTGCTCAGGAACAGATGCCTCATCCCTTCCCAGGAAGGGAAGGAGTGAGAGAGTTCAGATGATGGGTAGAGGCAACGCTTCGGTGCTGGGACTCTCTGCTGTGGGATGTTCTCAAGGCCAGGAGTATTCATGGGTTTGAAAGGATTAGACAGTTCATAGTCACTATGAAATGAGATGATTTGGATGCAGATGCTGGCTCCAGAGGTCTTTGAACTGCAGGTTGCCAGAAGGCAGGAGGATAACAAGGCAGGAGGGATTGCTTGCCAAGCTTTTCATACCATCTTTATTTTCCACTACGAGTTTCCGCTGCAGAGTCTTCATCCAACCCTGTCCCGACTGGGGCTCAGCTGAGCTCCCTGTTTCCCACAGCCTGACTCCCTTTATCCTCTCCCTTTGCTCTCCCATAAGGACAGCAGTGGTGGCTGCACCTCTGCCATTCTTTCCCTGCAACAAAGAGTGCTGGCAGGAGCTGCCCGGGTCTCCACCGTGCCTGTGAAGCCTCCATGGGAGTGGAAGGCTCCATGGGAATGGAAGGTCCATGGGAATGGAAGGTCCATGGGAGTGGAAGGCTCCATGGGAGTGGAAGGCTCCATGGGAATGGAAGGTCCATGGAAATGGAAGGTCCATGGGAGTGGAAGGCTCCATGGGAGTGGAAGGCTCCATGGGAATGGAAGGTCCATGGAAATGGAAGGCTCCCCATCTGTCACGAGCTGCCCCAGGGCTGAGCTGTGCACACACCGCTGAGCTGAACGTGGGTTTGTGCTGAACCCCACTCCTTTTGCCCAAGGAGCTGCATCCTGCCAGGGCATTGTGGCTTCTGACCATCACAGCTCCTTTTTCCCTTCCCTGTGCAGCAGCTGTGGTTTAGTGTGGCCCTTGCTGCTGCTGTGGAGCCCCAGGAGCAGGGAGCTCATCCTCCTTCCACCAACACGTATGTCCAGCATGTTGGAGCTGCACTGGGCCAAGCTGCTGTTCTCCAGTTGTGGTTTGAATGGGAACAAGCACTTCTTGGTGACTTTTCCACCGCTGTGAGTTCAGAGCAGCCAAAGTACCAGTTCCTCCTGTCCCCGAGGCTCTGTTGTCTCTGGCTGCCAGCGTGATGGATGGAGCCTCTGTGGGAGCTTATGGAAACCATGGGAAAGCTCCTCACAGCTGACATGCCCATGCAATAAAACTTTGCTTTCCTGGATGTGATGCTGTCAGAGGTTCAACCCACATCCGTGGGCCACAGTTTTTGGCTTCACTTGCAGCTGTCTCGCTTTCAGGGAGCCACTTTTCAAATAAGGCAGCGTCTGAGACAACCTTGAGGATCTTAGTTTTGGGCTATGCCTGGCACCTGTGTGGGTACAGTGAAGGGAGTGCAGGAACAAGGGCCTGAGGGCTGGTTTTGGTAGTTCCAGGTCTTCTTCTTGGGTTGAAAGGTCTGTTTCTACCTCTGCTCATCTCAGCCTGTGCTGGCCAACCTGAGGGCAGCAGCAATCAATGTGCTTTGTCCTGCTTCTTCTGCTGCGATGGGTCACCAGCAAGATGTTCTGCAAACACCAGGGATTCAGATCCTCTCCAAAGATAACAATCTGGTGGGTCTAGACCTGCACAGAGCTGAGTGCTTTCAGCCAAAATTGAGGTGTGGGTTCAGGAGATGACAGCTCTGCAAAGGGACTGACACCAGGCCAGTGGATGTCTCTTAAGTAAAGAGTTTCTCCCTGCTTTTTTCCACTTACACAGTGCTCTCCTCTGTGTTTGTTGAAATGCTAATTAAGAACCTGTGTTTCCCAACTGGATCAACTGACTTGGCACTGCATTCCCAGCAATTTCCTCCCGTTCAGCCCAGCCCTACCCCATGCCTTTCTTGTGCAAGGAAGGGAAAATAAGCCTTGCATCATTCCCAGTAGATGGATATATACTGACTGCAGTAGTCCTGCAGGAGAAGTCTGTGCCAAGGTGCAGGGCCCCATACAACCAGCAATCTGATGGACCTGACCTGAAGCCAAAGGGCTCCAGTGCAACACAGCCATCCTGAGGATGTCTTGGGGACCATTCTCTGCTCTAGGCAGGTCCCAGACCATTAAGGACTTCATGGGTTGAAACCAACCTCTTAAATCAAGCTGGAAAGCAGTTGGTGGCCAGCGCAGGATGTAGAACTCGGGTTTAATGTGGCCATAAAAGGAGACACCACTTAATGAGCAAATGTTGAAATCCACATCAGCCCATGACAGCTTTAGGAGTTGCTCTGAGCGTTATTGACTGGCCCAGCTCTGTGACGGCATCGTGGGCTTGCAGAGTTGGCCAGAAAGGCAGAGGATTAGTCAGAGTTTTATTTTGGTTACTGTTTTTTTGGCACATGCTGGCTCCTGACTTCCAGAAGCTCTCACGTCCCAGGTGTCTGGTAGACCAGCGTGATTTTTATCTGCATGTGAAACTCCGCTTGTGTGGACTTGAAATCCCGGCCCTCGGGGTTGTCACAGCCCCTGGGCATGGCTGGAGGTTTGCACAAGCTGGCATCCTCTTCCTCCACAGTCCAGCTTGTCCATCACCTCTTCCCCCAATGTCCTGTGGAGATCTGGCACAGGGACCATCACCCACCACGTAGAGAAGGGGCTTTCTGGGCAGCCCCCAGGCACAGCTCACCTGTGGAGTGGAGGTGCAGCCAGTGGGTGCCTCTTGCCAGTAAACACATTGCACAAAGGTAATGCCAGAAGCTGATGAGGCAAAACACCAGGTACAGTTGTGAGCTCACCAGGAGTTGCATAAACAGCTGCTGACCAGCTTTCGTGGGCATGGGATGATTTTTGATGCAATCAGACCTCTCACTCCTGGTTTCCCTGTGTTTTGGCCTCAGAACAGATTGGTCAGGCTTTTTTCCCTTGAGCTCTTAATCAGGGCAACCACTGGCTTTAGCACAAATTATCAGTGGCTTTTTTAATTGCAGGAACCCTGGTGATCTTTGCTGTGGAAGCATAAAAGCAGTGAGGGAGGAGTTGGCTGTGGGGGAACAGCCTCTGTAAGGTGTTGTAAAGCTGAGGGAAGCTCAGCTTGGGGCTTGCAGATCACACGCTGGCTGGTTATTTCTTTGTGCTGGGTGGATGCTTTGAAAACTTAATCAAGTTTTATAGCTTTAATTTCGTGCCTGACTCCCCTCTTGCCTTTTCTTTTCAACTGTCTTGCAACCCAGAGCAAATGAGTCCCGTTGGGTTATAAAAGGAATGAATTGGCAAATGGTCTGAAATATTTCAGCTTGCCTATTGAAGGATAGGAAAAAATGACTCTCCCTGCTTTGTGCCACTTGCATCAATTCTGCAAGCTCTCCAGTGCTTCCCAACGTGGTTAATTAGAAATAACCAGGGAAGAAGGTGGAATTGCTGAAAGCTTTAGGTTTCACAGGTACTTTGTGGGGGTACGTCCTGCCCATGAGCTGAGGTTCTGTTCTCCATGGTTGTATCCCGTATCCTGACCTGCTGTAGCCTGTGGGGCAGTGCTGGGAGGGATTGTCCTTGTTGGGTGCTTGACTGGGATGTGCTGAAGATGCCACCAGCAGCAGCTCCTGATTCTCCTTCTAGTTCATGTGAGGGAACAAGTCTGTGCATCAACAGGGAAGAGTAAAGCAGTGGGTGAAGCTGGGTGCAAGAGGACCCCTGTGGTTGGGTACGTCCTGCCCATGAGCTGAGGTTCTGTTCTCCATGGTTGTATCCCATATCCTGACCTGCTGTAGCCTGTGGGGCAGTGCTGGGAGGGATTGTCCTTGCTGGGTGCTTGTCTGGGATGTGCTGAAGATGCCACCAGCAGCAGCTCCTGATTCTCCTTTTAGTTCATGTGAGGGAACAAGTCTGTGCATCAACAGGGAATAGTAAAGCAGTGGGTGAAGCTGGGTGCAAGAGGACCCCTGTGGTTGGTGAGGTCCTGCTGTTGATAAGCCTGAGACAAATTGCTCCCTCTTGCCTGAATTTGGAAAAGTTTTGCATTTGGGATGCAAGGGAAAGCAAGGTGGATGAACTCTGACGAGCTCCTGCTTTTCCACTAAACCATCCTCTCGTTCCTATGGGGAAGTGAGCTCTGGGTTGGGGCTTGAGGGCTCTGTGGTGCTGCCATGAGCCAGAAAAGCCTCCTGGTGCAGCTCAGGACTCATCCTGACCGCTCTGGAGCTGGTGTGGTACGTGTAGCCACACTCCAGGTGCAGTGTAGCCCAGCTAATCCACTCATGGATAACTGGGAGATTACTCAGCTGGATTTCTAATACAGTGGCCTTTAATAATAATCCCCCCCTAATCCCTAAATCAATGGAAAATGGATTTGTCTGTACAAACCAAATGGCCTGTGAAGGCATGTTATGCAGAAGCATTCTTGTGTGTACCTATGTGTGAACATACCTAGAAATGCATATGGATGTTTTTTTCCTGTTCCCTGCCCTTTTGACCCACGTCCCTGTGCTTTGCTGGCAGGGACCTGATGCCCAGGACACTGGAGGGGCAGATCACCATGGAGAAGACCCCCAGCTACTTCGTCACCAAGGAGGCCCCCGCCCGCATCTCCTCCATGTCCAAGGGCACGAAGCTCATCGTGGTGGTGCGGGACCCCGTGACCAGAGCCATCTCGGACTACACCCAGACGCTCTCCAAGAAGCCCGACATCCCCACCTTTGAGAGCCTGACCTTCAAAAACAGGACTACGGGCCTGATCGACACCTCGTGGAGCGCCATCCAGATTGGCATCTACGCCAAGCACCTGGAGAACTGGCTCCTCTACTTCCCCATCGGGCAGATCCTCTTCGTCAGCGGGGAGAGGCTGATCAGCGACCCCGCGGGGGAGCTGGGCAGGGTCCAGGACTTTCTGGGCCTCAAGAGGATCATCACCGACAAACACTTCTACTTCAACAAAACCAAGGGGTTCCCGTGCCTGAAGAAGGCGGAAGGCAGCAGCAAACCCCACTGCCTGGGGAAGACCAAAGGCAGGACCCACCCCGACATCGACCAGGAGGTGGTGCAGAGGCTGCGGGACTTCTACCGGCCCTTCAACATGAAGTTCTACCAGATGACGGGGCAGGACTTTGGCTGGGACTGAGCCTGGCGTGGGAAAGACCCCCTTGTAATTCCTTGCCCGGCACGGTTTGCTTATATAAAGAGATATATATGTATGTAAAATGTACAGAAATCTATTTTATAATAATTTATTTTTAATTCCTAAGCAATTAATTCACTAAGCTGCCTAACCGCACTGGCTAGAACGGTAGCCCGTAACCTGTTTAACATTCCACGGTGTTTAATTCTAATATGTCTCTCTTTTCCTTTTTTTTTTTGGCTTTTGTTTTGTTTTGTTTTGTTTT